GTCTTGTTTAGGAAGCTCTGATCAATTTAGAGACTGAGCAACTTTTCCTTAATTGCCAGAGGGACCCTTTGCAAGCCTGTGAAGAGACAGATACTCAATATGTTCTTAGGCCCTGATACTTCCTATCTGGGGTGGTCTCTGCTCCTTATCATTCACTGAATGGTGCATACTTAGCTCTTTCAACTCAATTGTGCCCCAGACTCTGCTGTACCCTCTCCTGAGCGTTTCATTCAAAACAGGAAGCTCTCTAGGGCAGTTTCCAGTGAGGTGTTAGTGACTAGGCCCTGGAGAGAATATGGCTATTGACAGCAACGCAGTTCCAGGTTGTTGATGTGGTTGACAATTCCTAATGTTCTAAGTCATATGGTAATGTAAAACACTGTAGTCCTTCTTAGAAAATATTCGTTTTTAAAGGAATGAGATAGAGTGGTTTTTCAGTTTCTTAATTAGGCAGACCTGATTAGGTGACCTTGAGCTAGGGCTCCGGTGATCCCCAAAAGAGCCCAGTTAACTGCCATCTGTTTCATCTATTTGCTTCTAAATAGGTTTCTGCATTCCCATTAAGTGACTCACCCCCATCCCCGAAACTTTGAGGTGAAGCTCAGTTACTCCTTTCTTCTTTCCTTTTTTTTTTTTACTAAATTAATATTTTTCCCCATGTTGTTCATTGTGGGTAAAAAGGGAGATGCTACTGTCCTCAGATAGTTCTAAGATAACTTGGGAGTAAGGAGTATGCAGCTCTTTCAGGGCTCTGGGTGTGGGCTATAATTACAGAGGAACACCAGGAGCTCACAGGGGACACATTTGAGTTGGCTGCAGAGGGGTATGGAAGAAAAACCCAGAGTCATGTTGCCCTGAAGGGTCAGGTATAAGAAGGGTGAGCCAGACATATATGATGGCAGAAGTTTCTTAAGGAAAGAGTACATCCTACTTTAAGGACTTAATTAACAACATAGGACCCCATGGTCTAATGTGTCTGAAGCCCACACAGAGCACAAGGATTCAAGGAAGGCAGAGCTCAGAGCAGCTAGAGTCTTGCTAATCTGGAGTTTATGTTTTATTCTTTTTTTTAATGTTTTATTCTTATCTCACAACAAGCTATTTTTATTTAGAGGAATACACATGACTAAAAATCAAATGGCAGAGCTGTAGACGCACAAGGAGTTTGAGGCCAGGCAAAGGTTACATAGCTAGATCATGGCTCAAAACAAACAAACAAACAAACAAACAAACAAACAAACAAGCCAACCCAGTCCTGGATTCTCCCTCCTTTTCTTCTCATTCCCTGGGGTCGACCAGTTTCTACTTTTTTTTTTTTTGAGACAAGGTCTCCCTGTAGCCCCAGCTGTCCTGGAACTCATTATGTAGACCAGATCAGGTTGACCTTGATCTCACAGAGATCTGCCTGCCTCTGCGCCTGGAGATCCACCTGCCTCTGTGCCTGGAGAGTTGGGAATGAAGGCGTGCACCACCATGCCAGGCCAGTTTTTCCTTTTGGCTCTATTTCAGTTCCCACCTCCTGGCTTTTTCAGGACCCAGCACTTCTCTATTTGTTAATTAACTTTAGTCACAATCTAGTGAATTTCTACTCTGATAAGGATTTTGAGAACACCCTCAATGCCATCTGTGTTTTTTATCCTGAAGGCATTGGGCAGGCAGAAAGGCCTGAAACAGAGAAGTCATGTAGTGATATCACTTTTCCAGAAACTTGAAGGGGAATGGGATGAAAATGGGGAACTAGGGTGAAGGGTAGAGAAGGTGACAGCCAACCATGTAGACAAGATGACAGCCAACCATGTGGACAAGGTGACAGCCAACCATGTGGACAAGGTGACAGCCAACCATGTAAACAAACAAGGTGACAGCCAACCATGTAGACAAACAAGGTGACAGCCAACCATGTGGACAAGGTGACAGCCAACCATGTAAACAAACAAGGTGACAGCCAACCATGTAGACAAACAAGGTGACAGCCAAACATGTAAACAAACAAGGTGACAGTCAACCATGTAGAAAAGGTGACAGCCAACCATGTGGACAAACAAGGTGACAGCCAACCATGTAGACAAGGTGACAGCCAACCATGTAAACAAACAAGGTCAGAGCCAACCATGTAGACAAGGTGACAGCCAACCATGTAGACAAGGTGACTGAGAGCCAACCATGTAGACAAGGTGACAGCCAACCATGTAGACAAGGTGACAGCCAACCATGTAGACAAGGTGACAGTCAACCATGTAAACAAGGTGACAGCCAACCATGTAGACAAGGTGACAGCCAACTATGTGTTTGCCTTAAGGCCTTAGTTCTTTGAAATGAGACAAAGTGAAGCATTTGAGAGAAACTGGCGGCTGAAGGAACAGAAATTGAGCCTATGATAACTTCCTTTACCTAACACAACCTTGATCTTGATCACAAAACCTTCTTTGAAGGACCATAAATCTAGAGATGTGAATTTGCTGCTTGATTTAGAGATTTAGAGAGAAATGCTTGGTTACAATCCCCTAAAGAATAAAATGCTAAATCTCATAAGGAAAAGTCATTGTTTGTTTGTTTTGGGCTTAAGGTTTAATTATAGAGAAGCTTGGGGGTAGTTAGTTAAAAGGGAACATTTATCACTTCACAAGACATCAGAAATCCAGCTTTGAAACTCAAGGTCTCTTTTCATTTTTAAAAGCACTCAGGATTTTTTAGCTCTGTAAAAATACCTATCTGAAGCCAAGAGAAATTTTGTCAATATGAAACACTAAAATTTCCCTACAATCAAAAGTTTTAAAAGCCCAATACAATTATTATGACACCTTACACACACACACACACACATACACACACACACACAAACACACATACACACACAGTTTTATGGTTTGTTTACTGAGCTTGAACAACAGAAATGAAGGGGACCCACAGGAGACCCCTCATTCTGCAGCCTGGTTTAAAAGGAGGAGAACTTTAAAGAGAGCTAGGGCATCCAGCTCCTTCCTGGAGCTCAGACAAAGCTTGCAGTTTCCGTGTGTGTGTCTTACTGGTGAATTCCTGCAGGGGAATGCCTCCGTGTAAAAGAATCTGCTGAAAAGGAAAAGAAGGTCTGGTTAGGGAAGTCCCAGGAAGAGAGTTTGGTGGCCCATTTTCTCCCTAAGTTCCCTTTTTTCATCTCCTGAGGGATAGCTATTGCCATTGCCTCACAGGAGCCTCTAGGGGTGCTCTGATCTCCAAGGCTCTCCAGCACTTCCCACCTCCAATTCTCAGGTTGCCCAGGATGGCTTCAAAATTGTATAGCCCAAAATGACCTTGAACTCCCAATCCTTCTGCCTCTACTTCCCAGTTGCTGGAATATACCATAATGCCTGGCCCAGTGCTTTTACTTAACTGAAACTAGAAAGGATTGGTGGCATTTTCTAGATCTACTCAATCAAGATACAAAGTTTTAAAAAGAATTCAGCAATTTTGTGCAGGAACAGATTGATTTGTTTCTATATTTAAAGCTATTTGTAAAGTTCATGTGGTTATCATTTATTCTCCTACTTCTTTGTGAGTCTAAAAAGGACTCACACGTTTTACAATAAGAGATAGGTACTGCCAGGTGTGGTGGTGTACGCCTTTGATCCCAGAATTTGGGAGGCAGAGGCAGGTAGATCTCTGTGAGTTTGAGGCCAGCCTGGTCTACACAGTGAGTTCCAGGACAGCTGGAGACCCTGACTCAAAAGACAGAAGAAGAGGAGGAGGAGGAGGAGGAGGAGGATTTTTTAGGGGGAGGAGGAGGAGATAGGTACTACAGGGACTATAAAACAAAGAAAGATAACATGGTCCATGAACTGAATTTCAGGAGAGAAGAGAGTTCATATACTTGCTGGGGCAGAGGCCAAAACAAAACAAAAACCAAACAAACAAAACAACCAGAAAGCAATACCCCTGCAGTAGCCCAAAATATGCCTTGATGTGCTGGAGCTGTTTATACTATTTCATGTTGGAATTTGTACATGAACTTTTTTTTTTTCAGAAAAAGGTTGAAAATCTTTGTTATGTTCTCAAGTGAGGCCATGACTTCAGAATAATAAAAGATGATTAATGGAGAATTCCATACTACATTTGTGAAATATTATAACACGCATCGAAGTAAAATGGCCTTTATTTCACCTAGACCCTACAACTATACCATCTACTTGTCTTCTCGAGATAAGTGGGACCCTTCCAGAACATTAAAATCTATATCTAACCCTATTTCTACAATGTTCTTTAGTACCAAATCATTATCAAACTACAATAAATACATCTATGGCCTTTTACGATTTTTAAAATGGACTCAGATACACGATCCAATGTGGTGTTCACAACTCCAGGAGGCAAGAGAGTCTTAGAGACTCTTTAAGTTCAGAGATCTTCAATGCCTAGTGCAAGATCTCATTAGAAATAATAAGTTCGGGGCCCCTGGTGTAACCTGAGTTCTGAGATATGCTTTTAGTGTCTTCTACCTAATGGGAGCCACAAAGAGCCTGGAGCAGTTGGACAATTCCCCACAGCTGAAACCATCACAATCTGATAAGCTTCTTTGTTCAATTTATTTTGCTATTTCATTAGACAAGCTCATGTATCCCAAGCTCGGCTTGAATTTGTGGCCATCCTGTTGTCCTGTTTTAGCCTCTTGAGTGCTGGAATGGCAGGGATGTACCACCATGGCCCAGTTTTTCATCTGGCCTTTGAAATGTGTTCTCGGTAGCTCAATACACAGGATAAATCACTACTCACAATCTTTATAGGGGAAAAAGTGTCATTGCTGGATGGTAGCTCCAGCCATTATCTTATAACCTTGTAAGAAAACCTTGGACACATAAACTCATTTTCTAGTAACAGAGTTAGCCAGAATTTCAACTATAGTGGGATGATGATAATAGTGGTAGGAAGAGGTTTTCTTGATCCTGGGTACATCCTGACAGTTTTAGATCACCGACTCTAAAGGTTCCCTATCAGGAAACATTTCTTTTCTGAATTTCCTTCCACAGGAGGCATATGTGACTTATCAGGATAACGTCCGACTGGTAGGAGAGCTGGTGACAGTCATTGGGGCTGTAATTATCCTGCTCCTAGAGGTGAGGGCCAGGGGAGTCAGAGGTAAACCATCAGCCTAAGGCCCCAAATTGAACTGCAATCTAGATTGTCTTTTTGCTTTATTATTCTCTTCGCAGATCCCGGGCATCTTCAGAGTTGGTGTCTCTCGCTATTTTGGACAGACAGTCCTCGGGGGACCATTCCATGTCATCATGTGAGTATCTCCTTCTCCCAGGCCCTGCCTTTACTTACAATGTTCCAGGTCCCTGGTTTACTCTCTGAGGCTTAGACAGCAGGTGACACTCACTCCAGGGATTTCCTCTTAGCGAACCTGTATCTTTGGTTTTGCATTTTAGGTGTTATGACTTATTCTGAGTGTGTGGTTTACCACCTAAGTCACCATAGTGGACCTAGAATATTCCCAGCCTACAGCTCACTTTTGCTTTCTGCTCTTATCCCAGCATCATCTATGCCTCCCTTGTGCTGGTGACCATGGTTATGCGACTCACCAGTATGAATGGGGAATTGGTGCCCATGTCCATGGCCCTGGTGCTAGGCTGGTGCAGTGTCATGTACTTCGCCCGAGGATTCCAGATGCTAGGCCCTTTCACCATCATGATTCACAAGGTCAGTGCTTTCTCAGACTCCCTTCCAGCTAAGATAGAGGATCTTTCTAGACAGAGGAATGGGCACAGATGCAAAGAAGGTCTGCTGCTCAGAGCAGAGCTGGCAGAACCACAGGGAACCTCAGGTCTGTTAGCAATAGCTACTCAGAGATACAGAAGGAATCATCCCACCATTCTTCTGTGTTTCCCGTAGATGATTTTTGGAGACCTAATGCGTTTCTGCTGGCTGATGGCTATAGTCATCCTGGGATTTGCCTCAGGTAACAGCACTATTCTAGATTATTCGATGAAGGTCATGAGAATTCTTACTCTGCTCCCTCCGTTCTCATTCGCACTTGAGATCACTGTTGCCATCTTGTATTGGAAAATGAGCCTAAAAGCATGCCTTTCTCCATAAGGTTAGGATCACTCTGGCCTAGAAGACAGACTTATGCATTCTGAGCTATCGCTATTCGTGTTGGTTAACTGTCCTGCAAATCCTTTAAAGGAGCACTGGAGGAAAAGGAACATCGAACAGAAACGCTGGAGGGTCATAGGTCTTTTAAAAACTATATAGCAAATGGGGACAAACACAGTGCTGAATTCTACTATATTTAGAGTTCAGAAGAAACATACAGCACTCAGTAAGACAGAATGTGCTCTTATTCTATATGAAGTCATTTAAAGTAGAGAAAAAAGGAAAGACTTACAAAAAAGGAAGTACGGAATGAAGAGTTTGTAGAGTCCGAAAACTAGTGGAGTGCATGCAGCTCAGTCATGCCAAGGTGTGTGCTAACGAGCATGGGCAAACAGCACAGGCAGGAAGAGTCACAGCAGAGAGAGCCACAGAACTATCAGTGGGTACAGGAGAGTTCTCAAAGGTAAGAAGGCCCAGGTCTGCATTATGAAAGGCCAGAAATTCCAACTTAGTCCTCACTGTCTGTAACTAGTCATCTGTTAGACATGAGGACACACCAGATAAATGAGCTCTGTGAAGCCCTACTCCCAAGTCATCATGGAAATCTATTACTATTTCCAAAATGCCCCCTTTCAATGAGGTTTCTCACAAAATGGTAGATGAAAAAATACACTAAGACTTTAAATGTGAAAGGGTCAGACTGCGGCAGTCTGTCTGGAGTATTCTACCTGTGAGGCCTGATGTGTGGGTTTTTTTTTCCCTTTCCCTGCTCCAAATTCTCCTACACATATACAGATTACAAAATGGGAGAACGGTAACGAAGTTGTTTCTTACACAGCTGTTTTAGATGTCCAACGTCAGGATCACCTAAATGATCACTTTACAGGGGCTAGTGCTATCATAAGGTTCCAGGATAGCCTGTCATGTATGTACTAGGCTCATATCAACCAGAGATAATTTCTCCACAATGATCAAAGCCCAACTAGCAAATCTCAAAATGAAGGGTAGTTATCTAGAAGTCATGAAGATGAAAAGGTTCTCTTCTTTCAACCTTATCATATGTTCCATTCTTTGACATTGTTGGAGATTCCATACATTTTTTTAACAATTTATCTTTCAAACATTTGGTTTTCCAAAAGGTAATAATCCTTCAGGTGATACATTACGTATATACATACACATATAATTCTTTTTGATAAATGGCTAAGTGCTATCATTACCCAGCACAGTGAACTTAAACATAGGACATCTCAAGTTTAGCCAGCTCCAAGATATGTGGAAATGTTATTGTGTGTGCATGTGTGTAAGTGATGGAGATGCATGTATCAGCAGTAGAATTAATGCTAACCAAGCCCAAGCTAATTGTGACCACTTTGTTTTCCCATCTGCATCTCTTTGAATGGAGCAGCATTCTACATCATCTTCCAGACAGAGAACCCTGAGAGTCTGGGGGAATTTTCCAACTATCCATTGGCACTGTTCAGCACCTTTGAGCTCTTCCTCACCATCATCGATGGTCCTGCCAACTACAGTGTGGATCTGCCCTTCATGTACAGCCTCACCTATTCTGCCTTTGCCATCATCGCCACACTGCTCATGCTCAACTTGTTCATTGCTATGATGGGCGACACTCACTGGCGAGTGGCCCAGGAGCGGGATGAGCTGTGGAGGGCCCAGGTAACGCCAGTCTTGCTAAGGGGTGGGAACTGGAGTGAAAAATCAGCCTGGGATGTGTTATGATGGCCCACTCTTAGGAGAGTCACAGAACAACGCTGAGACTATCTTTTCAGTTAGGTTTATACAAACCTGAAGAGTTTGTGTGTGTGCGCGTGCGTGCGTGCGTGCGTGCGTGCGTGCGTGTGTGTGTGTGTATGGATGGAGGAGACAGAAGAACAGGAGAAAATGGAGCATCTAGGCAAGAGGTAGAACTGTTGATCGCAGGTGAAAAGTAGATCCAGGAGTCCTTGAATCCCCATGGAACAAGAATTGTTTGTTCTTGTATAATCTAGTTCTTAAGTTTAGAGCTTATCCTCTATGACGCTCTATAAATCTCTAACTACCTTTTCTTGCTAACATTATAGACTCTAAAATGCTAGAGTTGGGAGTTGCTTTCAAAAGACTTCTAAGACGGAGAAGTCTTAGTGTGAGGATCACTTGGTATCTTCTTTAATCTAATTAGGACCTTATTATCTTGTATCTTTAGGAGGGAGTTTGGAGGATAGAAGCTTTCCTATACTTTGAAAGTTTTGTTATTTTAGAGGCGTCCACATTACAGCAAATTGAAATCTGTCTTCCTAAAGTACTATTCTTCAGTCTTAGATTTCTCTTCCCATGTAACAAATACACATTCTTAAACGTGTATCATGTAACAATAGGCCCCCAAGAGCCTGTTATATGTTGGGAAGTGTCTAGGAGCTGGGACACACACACACACAAGCATCACAGAAATAACCTTTGCCCTAATGGACTGCCAAGGTATTGGGAAGAGAGACATTAAGTAACTTACTCCACAGAAGGCTGAAAAATTCTAGGAGCAAAGGTGCTACAGAGAAGTACAGTGCTGAGAAGAGGATGCAACTGAGTTTAACCAGAAGGTTAGGAAGAGAGTGACATTCAAGATGAGATGTCCAAGATGCGTTCAAACTAGCAAGTTGGGAAGAAAGGTCGGGGGGCAGGCTCTGTACCAGTCGGGTACCGGACTACAGACAGAAAGAAACCAAGCACGAACAGCTGTTTTTTGAAGATGTATTGGTCTTTATAACTGGAAAATTTAGAAAATTTAACTAGGTTTAGGGATATCTGGCTAGAATCAAGTCTCCATCTCACACATTCTGTGTGTGAGATGTTCAGCCCCCTTTCAGCCCGAGTCTGTTGTCTAAGGTAAACTGCCCCATCATGTTGATGAAATAGCTTATAGAAGCTCCAGGTACCAGAGGGAATGAGTTGGGGTAGGCTACTTTGTGTAATTCAAATTGCATTCTGTGAATCTCTGTGCAACAGAGCATCTTTGGGCTACGGATGTCGTTCACTGGTAGCTTGCTTGCCTAGCATGTCTGAAGCTCTGAGTTGAGCCCCCAGCATCCTCAAAAACAAACTTAAAAGCATCTTTGTCCCCTGGTAATTCAGTCTAAATTCTATATTCTTACAAGTTTGGGTAAAAGGCCTATGTTTGAACTTAAGACAAGGAATTGATGAGGAGGACAGTAATGGTGGTGGCAGCAAGGAGGTGAGGGTCCTCATTTCTTCTGTTAGGAAGAACAGTCTTACACACTCTAATCAATTGAAAGTGGTGAAGGAAAGGCACTCTGGATGAAAGCTATGCTCTGTTGCTAGGAGAAGAGGATGGGGCGGCAAGTTAAATGAAGAGCCATGAATGTCCATTTTGGAGAGAGGAACAGCTTCAGGAAAAGAAAAGAGAATGATTAGAAGTGTGAAGTGGGAGAGAAGCTGGTACAATCAAGAAACAGAGAGGACAGCAGAGCAGTGAGGGGGAGGGAACCAACATACCACAGAGAAGTGGCTGTTTTAGGGACTGCCCGATTCCTGCATCGATAGTCTCCTGTCCCCAACCCACCTCAGTGCACACTCTGTCCCAAGGCCTTTTGAAGCTGGAACAGAGATGATTAGAGCAGTGACACCATGGGAGGTTTTTCTTTACTTCGAATGTAATGCTGCTTTTTACCATAACACTTAAAATGGAGCAGGTCTTCAAGCAGATGTGCAACTAACCCCTTCTAAGTTCATGACCAACTAGGACCCCTGGATTTTCTGTCACATGAATTACTCAGGTAAACTCCTTAAACACAAGGGCACGATTTCACATTTTGTTTTGTTAACTTTTGTATTACTGGCTTAGAGTGGCATTCCACTTTGATGAGGTCATTTTCTATCGCTTTTGTCACCCCACATATAATGTATTCCTCCCAGGCTTGTGTCGCGGGCATATCTGATAAGCTTGATGTCTGTTTCATCTAGGTAATTAATGAGGTCTGGGCAAAGAACAAAACAAGGAACATACTAGAAACTTCTCTGCCAAGTACATGGACATTAATCAATGCTTTTTCTTCTCAAGATATCAATTTTTAATTTGTTATGGAGTTCATGAACTGAGCGGTGTCATTCCATTCCTGAGATCATACAGATTCTATTTAATCATCTTATTTAAATTAAGACTATTGGTCTGTGACTTTCCTATGAAAAAAGGAAATGAGATTATTTTAGAATGACTCATTTTCTATAAATATGAATAAGAACATAAGAGTCACTGTTCTATTAAAAACAAAAGAATGCAAAATCCTCTGTCCCTTTCTGGTGAGACAGGTTAACATGGCTGTGGGGCAGGCTTATAGGTGGATAAACCTCTAAGTCCTTACCATCCTTTAAAGAAGCCATCTTGAACATCTTGCTTTGGTTTCCTTTGTGGGTGACCTTGGTATCTCTCTGATCTTCATGGCTCTTTCTAAGATATTTTCTGTCTCACCTCCTTCCAGGTTGTGGCCACCACAGTGATGCTGGAGAGGAAGATGCCTCGCTTCCTGTGGCCTCGCTCAGGCATTTGTGGTTCTGAGTATGGCCTGGGGGACCGCTGGTTCTTGCGGTGAGTGGCATTGTCTATGTGTCACCTGTAGATGTCATCTGCAAGAGTGAGGGAGACTGGGAAATGTCATTATCAGGGCGAGAGATGGAGCTGCAGGGAGGGAATTAAAAAGGGTGACAAGCCGGGCGTGGTGGCGCGTGCCTTTAGTCCCAACACTCGGGAGGCAGAGGCAGGCAGATCTCTGTGAGTTCAAGGCCATCCTGGTCTACATAGTGAGTTCCAGGACAGCTGGGGCTACAGGGAGACCCTGTCTCAAAAAGACCAAAAAAAAAAAAACAAAACCAAAAAACAAATGGATGGCAAGCAATGTGTGCTGCAGGGCAGTGATGTGAGAAGGGTATGTATACATCCGTGTACTCAGACATGCATATGGGTTACTCTTCTTGGTTTACTCATGTTTTCCCCATGCTCCTTCCAACATACTTTGACCTTGTCTCTAGTGTCCTCTTTCATAGTCAACTCTTATCTCCTGACCTGGCTCTTCTTAGACTGCATCTTTTAACCTCATGACACTCAGATCTCTCAATCGGCTTTATTTTCTCTTTCATGTCACCACATATGAGGACAGCACATATCCTGTTACCTCCATATCAATTTCTCTACCTCTTTCATCTTGTTCTCAGCTTAGCTTCCATTCCATCCTCTTCTGCCCACTTGATCCTGATACTCTTCTTGCTTCCCTTCTGTCCCTTCCTGGTCCATTTCTTCTCTTGCCTATGATTGCGTTTTCTCCATGCTCATCTTTGCTTCTTCCTGTGGCCCATGTCTCCCTGCTCAAATGAGTCTTTTTTGTTTGCCCTTCATCAGAGTCCAGAACCACCATGACCAGAATCCTTACCGGGTGCTTCGCTATGTGGAGGCTTTCAAATCTTCAGACAAGGAGGAGGTACAGGAGCAGCTTTCTGAGAAGCAGCCCTCTGGAACTGAGGCTGGGACTCTACCCAGGGGCTCTGTGGCCCTCCAAACACCCTCTCTGTCCCGGACCACATCCCAAAGCAGCAGTCACCGTGGCTGGGAAATTCTCCGTCGAAACACCCTAGGACACTTAAATCTTGGATTAGACCTTGGTGAGGGGGATGAAGAGGAGATCTACCAATTCTAATGAGGATCTCTGTTACTTTGGACCAAGCCCCAGGTGGGCCTGGGTGTGGACAGACACCTGCTTCTGCAAGTATCTAACTTCTATAACTGGGAATTATGAGAGGGTATAGACAGAATGTTTTCTGAAGGACTATGTTTCACTCTTCACATTTCAGCATTTGTAGAGATGGACAGTGGTCATCTATTGTTGTATATACCTTATGAGTTCTTGGAAGACTCACGTCTTGAGAAAAGCAGGTATATTTTTGAGCATAGATGAACTTGGCCACTGAAAACCACAGAAAGGGACTAGTTAATATCTGGACCATCTTTATTAGGTGTTGTGCAAGCACCAGAAAAGAATAAGCTACAAGATCTGCCACAGGGTTTAGTTAGTGCGGGAAGCACCAGGATGATACCAAGGTCAGGGTCCTTCCTATTCTTCTTACCCTGTGAGGGACTCTCTCCTCACCTAACAACCAAATCTCAGCTAGAAATCAGGAAGAAAAACTCCTCATCTTAACCTTCTTTGAATACTTTCTTATTATGGAAAAATATGTACAATATAAAATGTATCATTTTTACCATTGTCAGTGGCATGAAGTACTGACAGACTGTTATATAACCATCGTAGCTGTTCTAAAAGGTTTTTTATCTTCACAGGCTGAAATTCCTGCCCATTGAGCAATCATTCTCCGCTATCCACTGCTCCTTCTCCTTAGTCCTCGATGCCCAATGTTTACTTGCTGTCTATGAATTTACTGTACATACTTCATCACAGTGGGATCATGCAATGCTGATTCCCTGTGCTTATTACATGTGGTGTAATAGCTTTAAGATTTTCTCTGTTTATTTAAAGGTTTCAACATTTCATTTCTTTTTAGGGTTGAATATGCACACACACACACACACACACACACACACACACACACCTCCCTTTGTCATTCATCCATTAATGGAGTTTTGAGGTATTATGAATGATTCCTCTATGGAAATGAGAATACACATATATTAAGTTTATCCTTTTAATTTGTAGGTGTTTAGGGGTTGGTTATATATCTGGAAGTAGAACCGATGTATCATGTGACGACCATGCTTCATATTTTGGAGGAATTGCCATACTGTTTTCCACAGTACGCATCGTCATTTCATATTCTGTCCTAACAGGTGTGAAATGATATTTTAGTGTTGTTCTGGTTTATCTTTCCTTAAGGAATAAGGGTATCAAGCCTCTTTTCATGAACTTACTTATGGAATGTTTTTCATCATTGTGTGATCTTAGCCTTGCTTTCTGAGACTCAGGAGACTGGGGGGTTTTGCATCTCATTTGTATCCCAGTGTGCTTTAAACTGTGAATGGTAAATTATGCTTTCCTTTAAATGGCCTGATTGTTTTTCTACACCTTCTCTGCTCTGTCCTTCAGGCTCTCACTTGTATGTAATCCTTCTTGAGCCTGAAGGCAAAGGCTTCTGCTTTGCATCCTGAAGTTGCTATGCCCCATGCCTATCTCCCATCATTCCTAGACTGAGTTATGAAGTCATGGGCAATAAATAATACAGATCTGGCCATCCATACCAGGAGAGAAACTTGGGACCAGGCATCCAGGGGACCCATTGCAGAGGCTTGTGTATAGCCTCCTCTTGTCTCCAACCCTATGTCTCACTTCAGTACTATCATCACTGCCATCAAAAAGTCATAACAATGTTGAGGAGACTAGTTGGAACAGTAAAGACATAAGAGAGATTTTGGAGGGACTGGAGAGATGGCTCAGTGGTTAAGAACACTTGCTATTCTTCCAGAGGATCCGGGTTTGATTCCCCACATGCACATGGCAACTAACAATTGTCCATAACTCCAGTTCCAGGGAATCTGATGCTCTCTTCTGGCCTCCTCAGGCTTTGTATGACATGGGTGCACTTACATGCAGGTAACACTCATACACTTAAAATAAAAATAACAAATGAACTATTTTTTTTTAAAGAGAGATTTTGGAAATCTCAGGCAGATTGGTTCCAATACACAAACTCAGAGTTGTGTATCCAGCAGTGAAGCCACAAAGCAGTGCACACACCTTGGTTCATATTGGTGGTATGAGACTTAACAGTGCTGCATCATCACAATTCACCGTCCTCTCTTTCATAGTGGAAGCACTTCCATCCTGTGTGAAGTTAAACTCCCATCTGTGCTCCAGCCTGTCCCAGGTCCAGCTGTCTTTGCATTTTCAGACACCAGCGTTGTGGCTATTGCTGTCTCTTCTGATCTTTCTCACTGACCCTTCCTATGTGGTATCCATGGCCTCTCTGCATTCTTTAGTTCCCTCTCTCCTTTTAACCACTGAGCTATCTTTTTCATTCCCTGTTCAAGGCCAGGCTTCCTAAAGGTGGGCTCCATTATCCCGGCCTTCCACTGATTTCTCAACCCACTGTGATTTGACCTGGTCTTCTTTATGCTACTGATTCACCCTGTTATCTCCCTGAAGTTCAACCCACTTGGCCATCTCAGTTTTAGTCGACCTCTATAAATTGTGATAGATGATTAAACATGATTCGCATTCCTACAAGTCTGGCTGCTTTGCTTTTACTACTCCTTTAAGTATTGTTGGTCCACAGGGCTCGCTGTTTCTCACTATCTAGGCATTCCAACCTACTGCCATAGATAGCCAAATGTAAATTAATGATTTGAAAGGCATATCTTCATTTTAGATCTGTCTCCTGAGCTCCGGGCATGAACAGTGAGGACGCCCAACTATTGGACCTCTCTACTTGGGTAATTTGTAGACACCTCAGATTCAACATGTCCCAAACTGAGTAGCTTACCTTCCTCACCAAACCTGCTACTCCACCAATGTTCTCAACCAAGTAAGTGGCAGCGCAGCAGGAAAAATGGCCCAAACCTCAGTTGTTAGAGTCATCCTCAACGCTCTGTCTCAATTCTCATTTTCTGAAAATTTCAAGTCTTATGGGTAGTTTATTTCCTTCCTTAAAAATAACTGATTTTGGTTAAGCAAAACAAACAAAAACAAGCAAAGAACTTTTACCACTGCCCCAGCTCCTTATATGTTTTCTCTAGGGATCTTCACGAATCAAAATTTGTTTGTTGTCCTTCCAAAAATATTCTCAACATATCCAAGCACTGACATGTACATATTTATCTTTAAAATGTCAATTAAGGGATATATTTTTTAAAAATTCTTGCTCTTCTCATTTGATGTATTTTAAAGACTACTCAATATCTGAATAAATTAGGGGAAAAAATCTTTATGGAATAAGGTGTGATAGTGCAAACCAAACCTACAACCTTAGCACTCACGAGATAGAGGCAGAAACAGCAGAATACCCATTCAAAGCTCTCCTGGGCTACATAGTGAGACCTTATATCAAAACCTGAAGCGCAGACTTGTTTTCTCTGCTCGATTCTTCTGTTGCCATTCTTCTCAATGGACCACCATTATCTTATTTCTGCATTTTAAAATCATATTCCCAGGTGCTGTTTGCATGTGTTCTTGGTCTTGTCCAATCCATAGTCTACATTACAGCCAGAATGTTGTTAGATGCAACTCCTGCTTCAAATGATGGGTTTTGGTAAGCCGAGTCCTCACTGACCTTTGGCAGCTTCTCTGAACAGCTCTCTCCCTTTCTGTGCTGTAATTCTCCAATATGAATTACTTTTAGTTCCTTGATAGTAATTCATCGTCTTCTTGAACCTCATGATCTGCAGCTATCACCTTCCTGCACCTGTTCCCCCCTCCATCTTTGTAACGTTTTATTCTTTATATTGACTTTAGCTTAAAAATCAGACATTTGTGTGTTTGTGTGTGTGTGTGTGTGTGTGTGTGTGTGTGTGCGTGTGAAAATGCACACTCTGTGGATGGGTAGTCCCTGACACCCAGGCTAGGTTACAGAATACCCATTCTGTTTCCAGATCATTTATATTTCCTTTTGTATGTTATTGACCTGCACTTCATTGCACTTAGTTGTTTATTATCTATTTTTCTTATTAGATTATAAATACAACAAAGGCATAATTGTATTCCTTTTATTTTATTCACCATTGTATTCCAAGAACATTTTATAATTCCTGGTACCATGTATTATGAAATAAATATTCATTAACTGAATCTATAAATGATTGATCTATTTTAAGTTCTCCCACTGGCCACACACACACACACACAATGAGGATGTGCTTACTGAGAAATAAGAGTATGTATGTGTGTGTGTGTGGTGGGGGGACAGAAAGAGCAGAGAGTGTAAAGAAAAGAGGAGGAAGAAAAAAATGAGGAAAAAGAAGAGGAATCCAGCTAGCAGCACATCTCTGGATGGAGCTTTCATAACCTACCAGTGTGTGATGCCCTGTGTGAGAGATACCAGGGTGATCTACTAGTTTCCACATCTGCCTTCAAGGGCCCAAGAGGAAGAAAAAAAACATGATACACAGACATCATGGTACTGCTGGGTGGTTGTGGCAAGTGCCCCATGTGCTGAAAAGTTGAAGCTTAGAGGGAGAAGATTTTCTTGCCCCACTTCAGGGGCTGTAGAGACAGTAACAGGAATGGAGGGAAAGACACTCTGCTGTTCTTGCCTTAGGAATTGCTCTAGTGGCTACACATGGCTCCCGTTCTCCCCTCCTGCCCTTCCCCCTTCCTAGTTTCTTCAGAAGAGAATGCAGAAAATGCTTGATCCTGCATGCCTCACAGGCTGGGCCAGGGGAGTGATGCGGCTCATTCTTATAGGTGTCACTGAACTTTAAAAGATAGTCCCTCCCTGATGTTTGCAGAGTGTGTTATTTAAGAGGCCCTGGGTTCTGGGGAGGAGGATGAGATGCACCCGAGGAATGGCTTTATCTGCAGTCTGGACAGAGAAGTCTAGAGGTCAGGGTATCTTCCTTGGGTTGGTGTGCCTGAAGAAATACAAGATAAGATCTGGGGGATGAGAGGTGAAGGAGAAGTAGAGAGGAAGGGGAAATAGGGGAAGGAAGGACTGGTTTAGCAGGCCCCCAGGCTGGGGTGGGCTTGGCCTAGATCTAGGAGAGAAAAGGAGCTGGAGGGCAGACGGCAAACAGTCGTCCCTT